GAGCGGGGGTCGGGGAGGGGGACCCGCTCCCTGACCCCTTCCCCACCGCGCCCGGCAGTGCGGGAGGGGAGGCGGCCGCGGGGAAAGGGAGGGAAGGGAAGGGGAGGCCGCCCGGGCACGGCAGGGCCCAGGCCGCGGAGCTTTTCTAGGAAAGACATTAAACTGCGCTGCCAACAGAGCTTATGTAAATGCAGGATGTAACATGGTGGTTTTGCCTCTCTCCTCGCGGCCCGTCGCGGTTGGCGATGGCACCTGGCACCGGGATCCAGCCCCGTGCAGGCGCCCCGCTCCCGCCTCTCATTTAATGAAAATAATCCTAAACTGCGCTAATGCAATGTCCCACCTGGGTGCTGCTCATTTGTACATCTGAAATGCTGCCTGTCATCTATATGGCCGCATTGTTTGTTTTTGAAAGCGAGCTTTGTTAATCAAAACCACATTCGTCACCAGGCAGCCCTTTCCATCTTAAAATGGTTTTGCAACAGCATTTCCCACTCTTGGGCGATGGTCCAGCACTCTCATGTCCGGACATTGGCACCCGTGCGCAGTCCCAATGACCACAAACCCTGCGCGGATCCGATGGCAACATCCGATGGTATCCCAGCTCGTTCCAAGGCTCTCCATGCACCCCAGCCCAGCTCTGGTGCTGCTCGAGCAGGGTGTCTACATCACCACACTCAATTTCAGAACTTGATCTCACTGCAGCTGGCAGTGGATAAAGAGATGTCCATGAATGTAGTGCATTTTTTTCTTTTCTTTTTTTTTTTTTTTTTTTTTTTTGTGGCTGGAGTTTGGCATTGCCAGAGAATTATGTTAGTCCTAAGGCAGCAGTTCTGGATTTTACCTTCAGTCTAACACCTGGGATATACCATAGGCAGATTTTACCTACCTGAGCATCGTCGCACAAGCAGATGGGGCCCGTCAGCTCCACAAAACCTTGGGTGGGTCTCTGGGGGTAGGATTCCCTCATAGTACTCATTTTCTTCAGGGTTAAACCCATGCATTTTTCCTTCCGTTATGAATAGAAAGAAATACTTGCAGAGAGCAGACTTTTTTTTTTTTATTTTTATTGCATTGCATTGCAAAATTACTTAATTCTGAGAAAACCCTATCCCTTCAGACCATTTGCTTGAAGAGGCCAGAATTATATAAGGAAACCTAAATCTCTTTAGAAAGCCAGGAAACACATTTGTAATTGCAAATCACTTGGTGTCCAGCATTTATTTGTGTAATAATTTTGGTGGCCCAAGTGGACAACTCTCTCTTCTCACAAATGGTGTGTAGGCCGTCTGCTTTAGAATGTAAAGAGGCATGTATAATTTTGAAGACTATATCCAGTCCAGCTCCAAAATTTGCTGAAAGTAAAGGTAAATATTTAAGAGGGGA